ATCCAGTAGGTTTCATCATCAATTTGTCGCAATACTTCTCGGGTGAGCCTAGGCTGGCGGACTCGCGGCCTTGAAGGGTCCGTATGTTGAACAATATGGCGCTCGACGAGCACCCTGGAGGTTGACCGGGTTTCGGCCAGTCACCCTTCGAGAAGGTGACTGGAGGTGCATGGATCCGTCGCTGGACCCATGCACCGAATCTGACTTTGAATAACGTGTTTATGGCACGCAACAAGAGATGACCGCTTCTTTTTCGCACCGAGAGAGCTCTTCGATGAAGTGCCGTGCTCTACAATTTTACAGCCCTACAAAACCGTACACATCCGACGCGGTCGCGAACTTTCGATACTTTACGATCTCATCAGAGCCGGGAATTAGCTGGCCTCTGTCTCCATGCTTGAGGTTTCACCCTATGCCTCTGGTCACTTCATGAACCGCGAGGAAGAGCTCTAAAATCTCCCCCCCCACCCTCCCCAACCTACCCCGTTTCCCCAATGAGCCGCTTCGGGACACTCGACCGCTCGAATTCTTATAAAATTCGCGAGAGCGGGTGTGAGGTAGATGAGATCTAACCTATATAATAGGGGATCCGGTCTGATTGAAACTAACGTATACGAAGATCAGAGATCTCGGCTTTCCGGGCAGTTTTTCCGTGTCTCTCGAAATCCACTGGACGACCCACCAGAGCTTTTCCGTCCGGACCAAAGCAAGAAATCGTTGAGGACCCGTTTCGCCGCATACGCCGCATCGCCAACGATTTGCCGACCTTGTCGCCCCGTAGACACTCAGTGTGAGCGACGATGACGACGTCAGCATGAGCTGGATTTTTTTCTGCTCTTCTGTTCTCTCTCAACGGAAAATAAAACAGCTGTCTTCGGCACGCCATGACTTCGAATAATGCGCGCTCCAATTAGGATTTCTCTCGTGTGTTTGATCCAAGCGTGAGACACCCGTCACAACGTCGTCGCTCAGGAGCTGCCGAGCACTCCTCCGAACAAGAAGTTTCGCATTACGTGACCGCGACAGTGTTCGCTATCCGGAATATCAGTTCACTTCCAATACCCATTGTCTCTTATCCCCGACGGCATTATCAGACGCTCGTTATCGGCATGCTAATCCATAATTGTCGAGAACTTGATTGAGTCGATTCGAGCCCGCCGACAGGGACACGGTAACGAGCGAAGTGTCACTCTCGGCTTCAAGTGCACGTTGACTTCACGTGACCTTGCGGACTTCCTACATGCTCGGTCCAAATCGAAAGCCTACGTCAGATTGATGGACATACGCAGCCATTGCGGGCCCGCAAGCCAACCATCCCGCCAGTCAGCCAGCCATGTGACGATGTGACCATGCTAGATTTCGTACGGAGCGGGTCTATCCCAACGCATTTTAGGCATTCGTAGCAGAATTGTAAATGCGGCTTCCTGGTCCTAATGCCACGCGACACACGGAATAGAACCGTTGCAACCCCAGAATTGTCAGACTCAGTGATTCTGCCGCCGCGCCAGCCGCCGCGAGAGAATTGACAAAATCATATGATGATATGATATAAGGTAAAACCCGGCTGGCTCTGCCTCGGGTGTGAGCAGGGACATCGCGCGGAAGGCCCAGAGGTAGTGAAATTCTCTGTTCCTCGCCATGGAGGTAGGACCCTGTTCTCATGGGGAATGGGCGAGCATCGAGATGCGCAAAAAATTGATCGCCGTATCACTCAATCGAGACTCGGCGATTATTCTCTCAGCGCTTCAGAGGAACGGGGATGACCAAATTCTGAGACGTAATTAACGAAAAAGAAGCAAAGTGAAGAGTGTTTCAGTCGGGCGTTGCGGTAACCTTGAGTGAAGAAGTACGATTCGAACGTGTGGGAAGTCTGAGATACCAATAATTGTTAACGTGTAATGTGGCAACGGCGGACCTCTCGCCACCGACGAAAGCGAAACCCAAGCGAGCCATTGAGCGAGCGAGTGAGTGAGCCAGTGCTGGCGAGCGTCGATGAATCAGCCGTAATGGATTGTTTTGAATTTTTCCCGCCAGAGGCTTGCCACTCTCGGGAAAGTTGATAATCGCTTCCCGTAGCTACTGCATGAAACTACTACGACTGGGTCTACGGGTACGGTGTAGACGTCATTTGCGACGACAGCGACGCGACGTCAATGGAAGCCATGAGCTCCGGAGAAGTCGCTCACGATCGTGCAGAGACGCAACCGAATTCGGCACGTTGATGAGAGAGCGGGAACCTAGTCCGCAAGTCGGATTCTCCCTCTCTATACAGCGAATTTCCGACGGACGGGCCGATGACGGCTGCTGTTTGGTTGACGAAAACGATAGTTTCGATAACCTTCGGCGGCACTCATTGTTAGCGCGAAAGCATGACTCTCTGCGTGACCAAACCAGGGCAGAAACGACGCCTCTGATCCGCTCCGTTCGGCCGGGTTTTCGTTGAACCTTTCCAACTGCGGTACCAAGAGCATCCGATCTCCATTCATAGAATCACACGCCGGAACATCCAGATACACACGGATTCCGTACCTCCCTGTTTTGCCATCTCTGCTCGACGGATCCAGCGGAATCACATAGCGGCACGTGACACGCCATGCTTTAGGCGAAGAGCGATATCGAAGCCTGGGCTGTTGCCGACATAATTTTATCGATGCGCAGAGTCATTCCAGAGAAGGAAAATTCCAGAACAGGAGATGAAGGAATTCGGGACAGAAACTGCTTTCACCGAACGCCGACAGTGTTCTGTGTGAATTTCCAATTTGGTAACGGGCTCTCCCACGCAGCTGGCATCAATGGTAGTACTACAACCGACGAATCAACCGAGGAATCAACAGATGGACGACTCGGCGATAGAGCTGCCGTCGACAAGAGCAACAACAGCTATAATGATGGCGACGGAAAATACCATCGGGCTCAACGGTGCGCAACCGGATCGAGCTCTATGGATATGCCGCGCTGGTCGAACAGCGCCGTGGTTTCTAGATCCTGTGGTGGATCCGGAATTCGTCCTCGAATTCCGCGCTGGATTTCGTCGCTTTTTCTTTGGTTGATACGCCAAAGGGACTTTCCAAAATGGATACGACCTTATATGTAGAAGTCCCGGGATAAATATTCCGCCGCGACGACAACAATGAACACATCTATAATAATACTTGCGTGTTCGGCAGTCAGCGACTCATTTGTTCGCTCGGCTTACGTCAATATGACTATTCGGTGCTTACAGACAGGGTACAAACTAGCCTTCACGAGATCACCGGACGGTCACTCCATTCCGCTCCGAGAGACCATGAATGGTGGGGCTCCACTGTTTTTCCGGATTCGTATCCATCTCTGGAAACCGTTCATGTAATTCGATAGGTCATGCAGTGGAGCCGAATCCGTAGACTACGGGGATGATCATCCGGAACGATCGAATTTCTTCAATGAGGCCATCGAGTCTGGTCGTACCGCCTTCTCCTGGTGCTCCATGGATCTCTGGTCGAAACAGCGGAAATTTCCGAATTCCCCGTCCGGTCCCTCAGATCTTCGTCATTACGGAGTCGCCGGTCTCAACGGGTCCCTACGAATTGTTCCCGTGAAAGTAGTCAACGGTGACCGTTGTAACGGTTCTTATGCAAATTCTGTTTGTCTTGAAGACGTCGGTCATGCACCGTTTCAAGTTGAGATGACGCGCGGATCGCTTAAGATGCAAATTATCGATCTGAACCTTCGTGATAGAACAAGCTTATCCAGAATAATCGTCTTGTAAACTCATATCGTTCCGAGCCGCTCCTCGATGAGCGTACTCATCAATCGACATAGGGAATCGAGCGAGAATTCAATCAACATTCCGTGAGAGATGAAGAATCCAAATTCAATGCTCATCTACGAGCCTGCTACTCAACTCCGCTTAAGTGACGACAGCATTGTACATCAATGTATGCAGCATGCGTCGCCCTCCGAATGCTCGATAATAATTCGAGAAAGAAAGTAGCGGTCGTGGCAGAAGGTCGACGAAAGAGTTAACCGATCCCGCTCTCGCTTGCCGAGCCGATCGCTTAGCTATCCGCTCAGTTGAGGAAACTTGAAAGGGCCCTGCTGAGCTAATGGAGCCAAAATCTCACACTGAGTGAACCAATGTCTAAGAGCTGTCACGTCGTCAAATCCGTCGTAGTAGCTCTGGCTGAGTTCGAACATTTGAGTGTTCCGACAATCGAGAGATTTTCCTCCGATCCGTGAGATTTCTGAGGAATTCCCCGGTGCTGGATCCCGCTGCCATGCTCGACGCAGCTGCGGGGAGCCAAGTGGGATATCCTAAGCGGAAAAGCGTCCAAGACGGAAAACAAATAGAACAAAAACGAGAACGAGACAAAGTGCTTCTATGATACCCGCGTGAATACTGGTCGCGCCACAAATCTCAACCTGTTCGCGGCTGTAAAGCACGCACGCCCCTTGGAGGCGCCAGATGAGAGCCCGACAGAAAAATGCTCTTGCCGTAACGGCTAGAGAAGCATCTCGACCCACCCGAGAGTCTCAGTGTCCTTTTCGAATTCTCTCAATCCGGCGGCATGCATCGATATGACACGGTCAGTCTTCGCCGGAAGGTAGTCTTCCTCAGGTGACTATTGGCCGATGCAGTCTCGCGGCAGAGAGCAAACGCTAAAGGCTGAGATAGGGCTTTCACTAGTTTGGGATTTTACAATGCGACTTGTGCGCATAGCGGCTCCCGACGACAGCTCCAGCTGTTTAGGCAGCAGTCAGTCCGACAGTCAGAGCGTGCTTTGACGTTTTGAAAAGGCGAAAGAGTCTCATGATCGGTAACGGGACCGAAAGGAGCTCCCGGCTGGAAACTCGACAACTATTCAATCAAGCGGATGGCTTGAAGAATCGCTCGACAGCTCAAAGAGCGCCCAGATCATGTACGGAATTGTGAGAGAGCTACGGAAAGCACGCGGTGGACCCAACGAGCCATGGAGCTCAGTCCGAGAGAAATCGAACTCAGAGCTCGACTATGTTCCTACCTTTGAATTTGTTGAGCGAGTTTTCGTACTGTTGTAGTTTTGGACCGTTCGTTTCATCAATTGTCGAAGCGGACGTGGTCTCTTGTACTACAGTGTATCGTCCACCTTGTTTGTACTCTTCGAAACGATACATCCTGATGTTCTAGCCCCGCGGGCCGCCTCGGAGGAAGACCACTGGCAGCGGCGACGTCGACAGAGACACTCGATGAACACACGTCAGATACGGGGGTTGTCACAGTTTGTTGTCTCTCCACGCACAGTTCCCGGCCGTTTCGGACGTCGCGGGAGGCACACCGAAGAGCTCACTTGCAAGAGATTTTGGCAGGGGGAGGGGGTTGCGAGGGTTGCTGCACCCGCAGGTCGATAATGAATTATTCTTTGAGAGAACCGAATTCGAGAATGGAGAGTCGGTCGTCAGACGGTCCGACAGACTGTCTGACTGACTGATGGAGGGATTGATAGAAAAATGGATCGATCAACAATAACAGTAAACAGTGACAGCAACGATTTGCTACGGTGGCAGTGTTAACAACAACAAGGGACAGAACAAGTGTTCGGAATACGGAATCTTCATGAGCCTCGCAAGTTTCAGGATCCCTCACAACTTTTCCCCTTTCTCTTGCCGTCGGTCGTCGTCGAGTGGGTTGAGCCTCCTACACCAGTTCTACCTTAACGGGCCGATGTAATGCTCGTATTCAGTCGAGCGTACGACGACGTCCACACGACGTCAACTAGTGTTTCGATCGACGATGGAGACAGTTCGAGGCTCGCATTTCCTCAGCCTACCGGTTCGCACCCGGTCTGAGGAGACTGTCTTGTCACCTAGATGCAGCAGTGGAGCCACCACAAGAACCAAAACAGCCTCTTCTCACTCCTAGTGGCTTTGTACCAATGCAGACGACGCCGGACGGAAAGAAGGTTTACGTCGAGCTGCCGTCGACGCCGCAGACACCGGACGTCAACGTTCTGCCGCACTGCTGCTTCTGCAAGCCCTTGTGGCGCCCTCCGACGTGAAACGTGGAAAAGTCCACTGTACCGCGCCCTGTTCAAACAGAACGGCACTGGCTCACCGGCTCGGTTTCCCGTAGAATTGTCGAGAGCTTAATCGAGAACGATCGATCAACCGGGGAGTCCCACGATCCAACAAGGAATTCCACGATTCGCCAAAACTCGGTATTTCTGAGGAGTCCCTTTCCAATAAGTGATTTTTCCCGCGAATACTTTCAGGCAGTCCGCGGTGCTCCGAGGAATCGACTTTCCCCAGGGCTCGCGCATGAATCGGACTCTCGAATCGCGAGGACTGCATAGCTCGTCGATCAGTTCAACATTTTGCAAATTCCTCGAATTGCGTTTGCGAAAATTTGTCGGCATTTACATCTACTCGTGTCTTGACCATCGCGTCGATCAGTCCATCCTCACGAAACCAAATGAATCCCCGCGATCACTTAATCGTACAGCGTGTAAGTGACGGAACCCGCACGAAGAATGAAGCTTCGAGCGCATAATAATTGAAGAGACGTTTGATTCATTTCAGTGTGACGGTCGTCTTCAAGATGGAGTCGACGAGGAAATTGCATCAAAATCAGCGGAACGCACCCGAGTTCAAGGTCGGTGGACCCTTCAACGTTCTTCGGTACAAGATCCGTGCGGCTATCATCTTTACCATTCGAATCGTATTGTACATGCTCCTCGTTAATGCAACTGAGGGCGACTACCGCCAACACCTCGTGAGATCCACTGTCCCTAGCCCGAGAGCGTAAAAACTATGACTCGGAGATTCGATTTTCAGGCGATCTCCGGAGCCCGCGTTCCTCCAAGGAGGAATTTCTTTCCGGTCTCCACCTCAAAGAAAGATCGTACGCAGGGCTCTCTGACACTTTCCGACGAGCTTTGTGAATTTGCTTCTTCTCCGATTTTATTCGAACGGAAGCTGCCCCGTCAGCCGGAATGATCATGAAACGCATTTGCATTCCAACGGAGCGCAGCACGGAGTCTTGCTGAGTTGTTTTCACGATCCGGTGTTTTCTCAATCCCAGTACGAATCACAAAAACTCCCTCTGAAGCGCAGCTCGGGCTTGTGAAAGCGAGAGTTCAGTCCAGTTTGGCGACTTCCGATCGACGAGGTCGGGTCATCGGCTCCGGCTTTCGATAGCGATGGGACTGTGGGATCCAGGATATTCTTGGACTGTATCATCACGATTTTGGACAGGAAAGAAAACAGCTAGCGTGACATCTCGGCAGCGGCTGCGGGCACATTCCTCACCGATGAGAATTTTTCAGCAAAAAAAAGTTCAATCTTTTCTCTGTGGGAAGAGCCTCGAGCCCCCGTCGATGTTGCTCAGCGCCCAGAAGAAAGTTTCTCGTCATAATCATGGCATCTCAAAACGACGTTGACGAACGCGACGTTCACGGAGACACGCTCTTCACTTTAGCGTTTGTCGCGGTCACTGAGGTGTCGTGCCTGAAGGCTTCACGTTCGAAGCTGTCAGTCGGCGGGATGCGCTGAGGAATTGAAAGAGTTTCGCTAAATTCACGGTCGCATGAAGAAGATCGTGACGGTCAGTCAGAGAAACAAGGGACTCCCGACCGTCGAGGAGTGGTCCTCTCGTGGGAGTTCGGGTATAGTCCCTCCTTCTTTCGTTTTCATTCAGAGCATGCGAGTGGCCTGTACTCGAAAATGTATGCAATATCCTGTGCCAGTTCGGTTCGGCGGAGTCAACCTGCTGACCCGGGGTCAATTCTCACCGCCACAAATCGGAAACAATTTCGTAAAAAAAAATAGGTCCAAAAAAACCGAATCGATTTGAATCTCCCACGAGTTTTTGACGAGTTCCGTGGGAGAGCCTGGGCGATCTCGGCTTCCGAGGCAACGGTCAGTGAGAGTGAGATGACACGAACGTTTGGGTGTTCGGATTCAAAACTTTTCGCGAGCGTTGACCTGTCATGAGAAACACGCGTCCAGCACGACGACGGCGTCCTCGACGAGGTTCCGGAGGGACTCATCAGACATCCGAGTGATCCACTGTCCGAAAAACCTCTACCTAGAGACCCAGAGACCGCCCTCGCACACGAAGTCACAATGCATGACTAGCTGGAGGTTCTGCAGGAGGATCGAGGTCGTCCGATCGAGCGAGAGCGGTTCGCGTTGGCGATGAAGAACGAGTCCGGTCCCGTTGCTTGAGGTCAATGTCTCTCTCGGTCAGCAGGCAGGCGCCTCCATCCGGCGGTGGGACTTCTGACTTTCACCCAGTGACACTGATGAAGTTCTTCTCATCATCTTCACCAGGACGACGACGAGCATGTCAAAAAGGGTTTACTCTAACACAGCTGGCTCAAACACACCGCTCACATCAAACACGCAAACTGGTTAACATGATTGATTATCGCCGAGCTCTTCTTGATAAGCGAAGGGTGCGGCACGCGCGCACTACCGAGACTTCATCGAGCCTCATCTCGAGACTTCAGCTGCCGCGGCTGTCTGAATCCTCTGTCCGTAGGTCGTCGGTATGAGCCGAAACTTCGAGAGAGGCTTCTAGCAAAGACAGAGGAACTTTCTCCATGAATGCTCGTATTGTGACGTCGACGAACTTCATTCGGGTGGTAGGCTTTTAGAAGAAGAAAAGATTCAAACCCGAATACTGTAGCCCGCCCACCTATTCGAGTTTGTATCCACTTTTAAGATAGTCGACCTACAACACACACCTACTACAACGGAGACATCAAGAGATTAGACGCATCTGGCCCGCTCCATTGGCTGCCTAAGGCTGCGTGTCTAACTTGTGGACGTCTATGGGTATCTCGGGCTAGGTCGCTGAACTCGAGAAGGGTTAGGAGTTCATTTAGCGGATACTGACGACTTAACGGAACTCCACTCGTTAGAACGGGTTACGAGACGCGTCCGGAAGGTGGACAGGAACTCTAAAAACCGCAAGCTGGGGTGTCGGAACTCGTATATGATACGATCGGGTCCGTTGAACTCGCGACCAGAATCCGTGCTCTAGGTCGGCTTCGAATAATCACGAGATATAGAAGACTCCGCATTGATACATATATGGAGCCATACTTCCAGTGTGTGTATATGAAGCGCTCCGGTTTCTTGAGGATCCGGATCTAGTCTATTATTATGATTATTATTACCATTGTGAATATTAATTTCGAAAAGCCTTATCGTGTAAAGCGTGTTTATGCACACGAGCAATAACTCTGAACCTGCGAGGCCGCAATTTATTATTATTATTATTATTATTATTATTATTATTATTATTATTATTATTATTATTATAATTATTATATTATTATTGCAATTATTCTCTATGCTTTGAAATCCGTCTTATCCGCTAGAACAGATCGTGCTCCGCTACCCTCGGTCCACGGCTCAGTCCCATGCGCGCGAGACAACTTTCTGCGCTCTGCGGTTCAGTTTCCCGGATAAGGGATCTCTTCCAGAGTTCTCTTCACGCATTCCGGATCGCGAACACAGGTGGTATTCCCACGACAACCGAATATCGGTTCCAAGTCAATCATAAGAGTGTGAGTGGTCTTCCCTCCTACCAGAAGAAGCCAAAGGCGAAGCACACCATCGTTTCGGAAATGGTGCTCACCGTGGCCACCGACGGTGTTTGATTAGTTCCACACGACTCTTCACCGACAACAAATTTATTTCTCTACTGATGATGATTATTGCTCATGCCGCTGCCGTTGTTCGCTTGCGGTATCGTATTTTTTATTATGCTGGTATGTTTAATTCGAACAAATTTGTTCCAATGACGTCAGCGAATCGCAAAATATCACCTCCATTATCGACAGAACTGTAAACTTTTCGCGAGTTCTTCTCTCGTGGGAAAGATTCCATCGAAGTCTCGACGGTAAGTCTGATGACCGACCGTGGTTTTCCCCATTGGTGAGAAGTCTTCATTTGATGGGAGAGTCGCGTCGCTCGGTATCGTTCCGTATCTGTTTCGATAATCACGGTGTTCTTGAGAGACGCCCGCGTTTGGCACTCCGGAGCGTGCCTCGTGTCGTCGCAATAATTCACGGGGACCGTATATGTAGTAAGATAAGCCACATGGTTCAATCGCCATTCAGCGAGGCAACAATGGGAATGGCGACTGCAGTTGAAAAAGGTGCGGC